TATAGCGACAAAATAATTGAAAGGCGAATGTCTTCGAAATCTCTTCATCTGCATTAATTGAGTGCTATTGAATGCCATACACCCATCTAACTTCAATTTTTCACATTTGGAATGGTCTAGATTGTGTCGAAATTACATTCCTCTTGTTTTAATAATTTAAAGTTTAAAATTTAAAATTATATATTAATTTAAAATTAATTTAATATTATTTGAATAATTTCCAAAGAGATCTGTACCTTTTGATTGAAATTTTCAAACACGAGGTTCACGATCGATATCAATGAGGAGAAAATGAACGAGGAAGTTTTCCCTTACGTAGAGAGATTTTAAATGATACTCTCAAAATTCAACGTGACGAACGATTTCTTCGAAATTTTCCGAGGAAAATTTCACGTCGTTCACACGGAACGACAGCATTTTTTTGCGGTCGGAGGAAACGACGTTTCCTGAATACGAAATCGAATAGCGGCATCGGCGGAAACTCACGAAGTCACGATCGGCGGATAGTCAACGATGTGGCCGGCTGAACTAACTCTCGTAATAAGAACCAATGTAAAACGAGAGGGAAGAAATTGCAGTAAATATTACGAAAAAGTTGCGACAATTAACGGCCTCCTATGAAATGTTTATAAGGGAAAAGCTCTATGTTTTTAATTCATATTCATAGAAAATAATTAAATGCAATTTTTATTCCTCTACCGCTGTTTAATAATCTTAAAGCTTGTAGTAATTTCATTTACGTTCGTCTAGACGTGACGTTTGATCACGTGTGATTGATCGATCGTTGCTATATTGAAGCGTATCAGTTTTACCGTCTCGACTATCTCAAAGAATTGAAGAACATCGCGAGAGTCATTGTAAAAAAGATGTATTTGTTAAAATATTTATTTGCATATACGCACTCAACGTGCAAACACGCATACTTTTACATGCATATATGAAGCTGCCTTCGAATCAGAACATCTGGCGTAACATAATCACACGTTGCTAATCCCTCTTTCTCTCTCTCTTACTGATGATGTGAAAAAATTCGTTATTATCCGTATACATTGTCAAATTCGACTTGTAAAACATGTATTATAAAACAATGCACAAAATTCTTTTCCCAATGATAAGCAGAGCCCCATTGATAATAATACATACTATGTGACTTGAGATAGAGGCTTTCTCATAGAGCCCGTTGTTCGAAAACAACAGGCGTTTAACACTGCGCGGACAGACGCGAGGCGTCGAATAAATTTATAGGTGAGGAGGGAACTCGGCGCGAGAGCGAGAGGGCCACCCGTTCTCCAACGTGCGGTTGTCCTTCTTCCTTCTCGCTCGCGCTCCTCGTGTTCGCTCGCGGAGAGATAGCTCGGGCTCTCCTCGTGGCTGGCAGGTAAAGTCAGTAGGCGGACACAGGTTCGTTCACCTCGGCCTAGCGGCCGACCGGATAGCGGGACCCTGGCTTTCCAGTGAGCCCGTCGTCGTCGCCGCCGTCATCGTCATCCTCGTCGTCTTCGTCGTCTTCGTCGTCGTTGTCGCGTGGTAATCGCTCTTCGATCATACGATCGTGCAACAACATTCGTGCAAATTACGCGTGCACGCGCCTCGTGTACCTATTTCTGTAGCTTGACACTCACAGGTACCAGAGCGAAAATATATTCGTGTGTGACGCACGCTCTGTTGTCTCTGTCACATGCGTTTATTGAATTATTGCGACGGTGGCCTGACGCAGGCTGTGTATTAGCCATCTACCAACGTTAATTGCATCTCAACCGGTCG